TACACCCGATTCTTAGACTTCACGTTCTTCATAAATACTAAAATCTTCAGTTATATTCGCATCTACAATTATTGGACAAAAGAAGATGATTTAAAATGATAGAATCTAAAATTTTCCATTACTTTCTTTAGATTAAATAAAATTGAATCCTTATAACGTGTCTATACGGTATAATCGATTAAAATTGTATGATTTAGAATTATAGCACACATATATTTTGGAACAGTTCAGCAATCACTTATATTAATATAAAAATCGAAAGTTTTTACAATATCAACACTTAGCCTAAAATTATATCGTTAAAAATACTGTACAGTATATCCACACAACAGCCTAGCGAACCGTACAGCCTAATATAGATGTTTAAGTTCTCTGACATCTTTACAACTATTCCTAAAATTGTATACCTTGGAATAGCATATTCTAAAACATCTTACCTTAATACTTAGACTAATACTTACAAGAACTTAAATCTGTGAGTTTTAATTATTAACACCTCTAAAAATTATCTGCTATTCTAAAAATATACTGGCTATATCTGTAGACTACTGGCAGTACTGAGTATTCTATCGAATTATTTACGTTAGTTCTAGCACGACTGATTTATTATACGTTCATATTTGTCATTAACAAGAAGTTGATAGTGAAGTGGCTATCAAGAAAATTTTCCAGAATGTAAATTATTAGAATCGCAAAATACCTGTCGAGTGTCGATATTGGTAGGGAATAGAATTCATAATTTGGCGATTAACTTTATCATCCGTTGGATCTCTTACACCTAGTAAAGTCAACAATGAAAATTTTTAATTCTATTTTAATAACGACCATCTTGGAAGTTGCATAAGCCCATTTTATTGTGGTAGATTTTTGAGGCAATGAATTAGACTTGGCTATTGAAGAAACATTCAAATTAATTGATATTAACTTACCTTCATCCATTGTCCCATCGAAAGATTTTGAAATAGGATTGTCTGCATTCTTATCAGTTGAAAATAGCTGTCCAACTTCCTGAATTAATGTATCAATTTGCCCTACAGTAAATGGTTGACGGAAAAGAATTTAGGATTTCTTCACTTTGGAACTTATTCAACAGTAAGAGGATATCCTACAAAACATTGCTACTTATGCATGCAAATACAAACTATATTACCAAATATAAACGTATTATTATATATTTATTAAGAGATTTACTGGTTGTTTTATTAGTTGGCTCAATATTGGACAGAAGTAATCAGAATAGTCTATATCTCTCTGATTAGACGCAAATACCTTCCGTCCTTGAAGTTGGCAACTGACGTACATTTCTTCTGTGAATTTGATCATTTCTTAGATGATAGCCTTGATCGCAATGATAATCATCGCCTTCGTCATTGTTAGTTGATAAACTAATATCAGAATGGCGTGATCGTTTAAGAACGCTACGCTGCTCGAAACTACTTGATTTAAAGGCATCCAATTCACGACGTAGAAAGACTGGATGATGGCTTTGACTAGATGAAGGAGCATTAGCATTATCATGATCTAACGGTGCTACAGTAACTCGTTTCCCTATCAAATTACCCAATGAGAGCACTGATTTATTATTATGATTACTGTCTTGAGAATCTAATGATTTACTAGTATTGGAAGCTGTCAAAATAATGGAAAAAATAAGTTAAGAATATTTATTACAATATAGACTATTTCTAGGCAGCTCAGATATTTAGCAGTACAATTAAGAAATCAATCTCAAAAGACTTGAACTATTTACCCTACATTTATCTTACCTTTTCTGAAGTCTAGCCATTTCTTTGATTGATCTCGTGAAGGAACACATGGGTTTGATTTCGCTTTATCTTTTGGGTTTTGTCCATTTTTGGCTCCCATCGATAATTCAGATTCTTCTAGCTTTTCCATCGTCATTCTAGTCGGAATTGAAGATACAAGTAACAAAGATAAGGTTATTCCGAAGATATAGATACCATAGGCAATCAATTTTACTAATAGTCATGACTGAATAGTTATGTCAGTTTATTACAAGCAATCCTAATCTATACCAGTCTTACTGCTATCATCCAGCATTCTAATTTAAATCGCTCACCAATATTTTTAAAATATTAAATGTACTTATGTAAAAATAACTGAAGAAAGGAAACTGTAATTATACCGAGTATTTGAATATTTATATCCATATAATTATAATTTAAATTCAAAATTTCTACAACTTTCCATTTTACTATAATGTTAATATAAGTCTAAATATATTCTTCCGAGACTAGATAGAATGTTACATTATGTAATATAGCTAGATTATAAGACTGCGCAGAATATCGTTTGCGTATAGCATGCAATTTTTTCAATGAACTATGGGTCCTATATTTAAAAAAGCTTGCCTCTATAGTAGTTAGCGAAAAGACATCTTTGATATTACTATATTTTATTCGAATGAAACACAATCACTTACTCTTCTAGCGATCCTATGGATGAATTGTCACTCGCTTCGCGATTTTGTACATCATTCGCCACTGCTACGGTTAAAGCCTGTGCATTAGTGGGTAAGTCTTGCTTTGATCCTTCAGAAATCTTTTTTAGGCTGAATTTCTTAAACAGGTGGTACTTCTTTCTATTTTCAAGGTTCTCACTGATTAAAAAAGTAACAACATTATGGTATTCTACTTCTAAATAAATTCTTTCCATTGCCAATCTCATCATATAAGTAAAATTGAATAAAGATGTATTATTTCATATGCAGTTTTAAACTAGCCTATTATAGATCGAAGAATCTGAGGAGGGAATCAAGTAGATTAATACCAGGTCATTTGTATAAGCTAAATGAGCCATGACTTCTTCGTATCGATGAGACAAGAATGGAACCCCACAGACCTATCATACAATCACAGAAAATAGTTAGTCTGCTGAACACTAAAATATTTTCATATTTAAAATTTGTATATAGATTAAATAATACGGCTGGATATCTAGGGGATATCCTTTGTTATTATACACTTACAAGTATATACGGTATGTGTGAACAGTGAGTGATACTGATTCTATCATCTAGTAGATAATTAATTATCCCTTAATTGCTGTAAACAATTTTACTTAAATTATTGTTACTAGGCAATTCGCGAAATGACTGGATTTCGTACTTGGACGGTAACATTATCACTAGCTTGCTCCATGTGAGATAACATATAATTAACAATATATGCAGTCAACAAAAATGAATGGATGATCCATCAACAGATTTATAATAAGGCGAAACACCTAATTTGATGACTAAATTATTCGTACCTCAATAACTTTAAATCCAGACCTTAATACTGATTTATCTGCCATACTGTCTTCATCAATTTTAGCAATAATACCATCCGGGTAGATATGCAATCCATGAGAACCGGGAGACATGAGTTTAAATTTTATTTCATATACCTAATTAAGGAATATGAAGGATATTCTCTATGAGATAAATCGCATACGGTAACTCTATGAATTTTAGTATCGGATACACAAATTTATAACTCTAAGGCATCTGATCTAGCAAATACTCAGTTGCTTGGATAAAATATTATATCCAACTACTTAAGAGCCATCTTTATACCAAATACAATCATAATAATTGATCAATTAATTATTTTAAATTGTAGACTTATCTACTAAGTATTTGTCGATTAAAAATTAGCTGGCATCTAATTTGCATAATTGATTTGAATTCTACGACCATAGTAACAAAGTTACTGATTTGGAAAGCGAACAATAACAGTTATATGTTATCATGGTTAATAATGTAAAGTTGTGAAGATTATTGATTTACCGGTATTAAAAGATTATAGATCTAAAATTATTTCTACTACAATAAAAAATAGCATTTAATTATGAAAGTTAATGAATTTTACAGATCCAAATTAATAATCTTTATTATTAATAATTTAACTAATAATTTCTCACCCTATGTCCGCTAGAAATGACGTCTAATTTACTATCAATATCAGATAGACTTTGATAACTAAGTAAATGGAGTCCAGTACTATTACCATGATGATAAAATATCTTGATTCTAACAATAAAACAAAAATTGATGTAATTTGAAGCACGTCAATTATTATAGTATTTTGTAATTAATTTTTTTCAGAAATACTTGTACATCGATTTAATATTAAGTAAATTTACTATTAATTCTAATTAATGTTGTAACTTTGAAAAGAATGAGATCAGATATAAATTATCATGACTGTGAGGATAAAATTTTTGTGTTATCATATCTCTTAATGAGCATATATAGTTAACCTTAAATAACAGACTGATATTTTAAATGCATTTCAACAGCTTCTACAGTAGTATATCGACGTTAACTATTGAAGGCTTTGAAATTTTATTGAGCAGACTTCATTTGGATCAGTTTGTTACATTAACATTAGTTTAAGAAGGCGACGGCACTCAAATCGTTTCAATTTAATCTTTTAGTTCAAATAATCTAAATTAACTACCCATGTAAGCTAATAACTACTATACTGAAGAAAATCTATCTTACCGCATATCTTTCCTAAACCATCCCATGATTGACTGGCCAGGTATACTCCATATCAATTTCTAAAATACAAAGTTATTATTCATATTATACAAATCTTAAGCTAAAGTCACCTCCTTATCGAAGGTACAAACTGTAATATTAATACAGCTTAATCTTACCATTTCATGTATGTTAATAATGTGAATTACTGATGCCGTTATAACCATCGCTATTTTATCATTTTTGTTCCTATCAAGCTATTATGATTACAACAAACAAATTGTCGAAAAACATTATCAATGTATAGTCATCTAGTCGTATTACTCATAGTACATATGAAAAAGGACGTACCTGAACACCATATGCAAAGCCTCCTAAACTATCTTCTACAATGTTTGGATCATTTTTAACTTTGATTTGTTTAATTGGTGAAAGAATACCTGAATTCCGTTATGTTATCAACATAAAATTAATAGATTGATACTAAAAGTTGACAATAACATAGGAAATTTTAAATATCGTAGGAAGAATTACCATATTTTGGAACGTGATCGACAGTTAAATTAGTAGTAAATCTTCCATACATGTCCTTTAAGTACTGCATTCGTGTTCTCATGGCTAAATATCGAAATTTACAGGATCTTTTGGTTGCATTCTCCCCATTGATAGCTGGAAAGGTAAATAAATGAAATAATCAGGGCCGAAAAGTGATCGCCACGATTAATCATCCATGAGAGTAGATGCAGCGAGAATCGAGTGAATTATTCCAACGTAAAAATAATGAGAATAAATATTGAATGGTTAAATAAAAATCTCATTTGATATTAGTGAGCTATTTTGTAAATAATATAAGAATGACAGAGTGTATGGATGTTAAGTACAAAATATAAATTTACCTTTCGTCAGAAGAAAATCCCTTAATTCGTCTTCATCAGTAAATAAACCTTCCTTTGGTAAAGAGGGGCCGAAATCAGCAATGCCACATGCTTTAGTAACAGCGACTCTATTCAATCAAGAATCAGCATAAAATTAATAGTTGTATTGATTACGTATTATGATATCTGAAGACAATGAACTATAATTAAAATAACGAAACCCGTAGATTACCAAATTTTATAAAGTATCCAACTAATTGGTTATACGCGTATATGACCAAATAATTATAATATACGTAACTTACACATTAAAAATCAGCGTAAGCTTACGAAATAATTGCAGCATGAAATATCCGATGATCTACCAACCGGATGAAAAGTTATCGCTAATAGTAATGTATTTCTGCCTAGTGCAGCCATAATTTGTCATCTAATGCGTTTATATAGTATTCTATTTCATTCATGGACCATAATCGGTAAAAGTTTAATAAGCTAGTATTGATGTTATTAAATTGATGATGAAGAGAATTTATTTGGGCTACTATTAAAGAATTTACAAGTTCCATCCACCCAATGGAGAACCGCAAGAAATTAGCACATAGATAAGATATCTAGTGAAGACTTGATTTCATCGAATATAAATGGATGTTTTATATCGATAAATTATGGATTGGATAATGCAAGATTATTGTACGTAACCTTAGTATGGTGCTTTAAATTAATCCTTACTTGAATATAAGATTTTGAGAAGCATCATAGACAGGGCGGACTACAATAAAGACGTGCTGGAAGTTTGAACGAATAATTCTTGGAGAAAAGGGTGGAGCATCATTTTCTTGAAAGATAAACGTAACGATATCATTTCCAATATGTCTTTTCCTCATCAACTATTCATAAAATAAGAATTCAGCTGTTAGTTTGAACTATGGCTTAATTGGGATACAGGCCTAGTATAGTTTTACTTTGCCTTCAGCCAGTTCTAGTAAATAATTTTAGTACCTGCTGTCCACAATCTTGATTATAAGGTAGTAAGGTTGATACATGGTACATAATTTGATTGCCGTAGTATTTTGTGTAAATTGACTCTGTTCCAGTAGTATTATCTAAGTTATCGATGAAAGGACTACATTAAAATTAGGTAACTGGTCCAGGTAAGGTAACAGTGGCATTCAGTTTAAAGATTTATACTAAAAGGCATGTCAGTTAGGCAATAATATCTAGACTCATATTATTACAGCAATATTATGATTTAGTATATGATAATAACATGATAATTATTTGATTAACTGAAAATACTGCTAGAGATAATTTTACTGAGATTGTACGTGCTTGATAATTTATAAGCTAATAAATGAAAGCACGAGTATCAATATGTAAGAGATTGATATTGTAATTATATCACAGTATAGAGATTTTAGATATTAGATTCATTTAAAGTCTATAGGTAAATCGATCACTTTTAAGAATTAATATGCATCAATATGATTCTTAATGAATAATTAATTAACAGAAAATTAATTCAATTCGTCCTTAAATTAGATTGTAAATGATATTGACGATAGCTAATGAGAAATCAGGATAAATTATGATGAAATTAAAGCGAATATTATGTCTTTAAAGTTAAACCTACTGTATTATCTTGTTGGTCATTATTGCCTTACTTTTAATATCTAATTGGCCTTTATAACCTTGGAAGCCTTGTAATGTTATTCTATCTCCCAAGATGGAGAGAAATCTTTCGAAACGTGGACTAGAATCACCTAATTATTAAGTTAAAATCGATCGTTTTATCTCATTAATAATCATATTGTATTACATCCATATATATATTTCATATTAGGTATAAAAACATTGCCTCACAGTTTCGATAAATTTCTTCTTCACTGGTTTGATCTTTCTTACAATATAAAACTCCAAATTTATACACATCTGTAAGCTATAAGCAGATAGAATTTAATGTTAATGATAAAGTAAAAAACAACTGGTTACGAAGAGTTTCTTAATCTGACATTGGTAGAAGGGCAATTGAAGCAAAACAGTTAAAACATCATGTAAATACTAGTATACAAGTCGCTTTAATCATTCTACTAACCCATAGTTGATTATCAAAACTCAGTAATTCAGAAGCACACTAAAATATAAAAATAGCAAGATGTTAATCTTCCCTGTCTTTACAATTTTTATCTATTCTTAAATATTTATATTTTTTATCATGTAAGATTAAAGTATAAGAAAAGGAAATTGAAATAATCCTAAGTGACAATTATTTTCGCCCATGATATGCTATTTTTGATCTGCTTTGCTTGACTGTTAGCTATTTGAAGTACGACTTGCATTAATATGCTAAGATTGTCATAAAATAATATAGACCTCGACGTTATATTGGCCTTGTCGTAGACAAGATATTTGTATTTCAGGAGCCACGTGTTCAATTACAGGGCGAAATGTATCAATTTTAACTTTCGAAGTTTTGGTAATACACTCTTCCGATATGCTTCCTCGTAATGTTTCCAACTAGAAAAATAAGTAAGTAGGGCATGATGCAATAAAATATTTTTCAAATACTTTAATTTGATTAAAGTCTTTAATCAACACTATCTAATAAGTAGACCAATGTGTGGCTAATTTATACTGTATTGAATGATAGCTCTGTATCTACATTAGATAAACAGATCACAGTAGCTAGGAATTACGAGAAACGGATGATTAGCATTAAAATTAATTTAATAATAAATATTCTAATTCAGTTATACAAGGTCGTTATCGTCAACTATCTACAAGTGCTGCTGATTAAAAAAATTTATTATGAAGCTATTACGCCATAGGAGAAATTAGAATAAACTATAATCCATTTTAACATCGATTATAGAGATAGAGTAAATAAATCTTATATCGATTATAACGAAAGTTATGCAATACAATACACCTGATGGAAGCATAACAGTCATTAAGCTCACTTTAAAACAGATGATATATAGAATGAAACTTTTAAGGTGCAATCACTTTGAGATAACGCAGTGCGTCCTTACCTGGCAACTTCGAATGATTATGTAATACTTGTTAAAATTTTGAATTGATTTAGACAAGTTATTTTTCTTCTTCGAACCCTTTATGCGTCGAATCGATATGGCTATTGGACCAATTTGGTCATCTAAGCCAAAATAATTGAAATGCTCTACAAGAAGGTGGGATATATAAACATTAGGCCGGTTAGACAAATAAGACAGTTAGGATAAAATCTACCAAAGCTTCAAGATATGATCACTAAATAATGTCTATAAGTATGATAATTGAGTAAAGTCATACATCTTTTTAATTTTATGATAGATCATATTAACTGACATCGATTTATCCAAGTTAAACTATTTGTTCAAGATGTTTCAAAATAATATATTGACCTTGCACTCGAGAAAGGTGAATTTTTTTACTGTTTAATTAAATCTACTAGCAGCATTGATGATTTAGGAAGTTCAGCTTTTAAATTTTATATCGATGACAAATCTTATTTCCTAATTGTAAAAGATCTTGAATTTAGCATCATTTTAAGTGCTAAAATAGTCTTCTAGGAAAATCGAATGAAATTGCTATCTCGTATGGCTACAACCGGCTATGAGGGTTTTCTGATTTATTTATGTAGTAGGAATGAAAAAGAGGTAGTTAACTCGATAAAGTTGCTGTCAAAATAATATATGAGCTCAATCTTATCTGTAGAGATATCGTTCGTCGTTAATTGAAAACAACCTAAGAGATTAAGGCTGCATCAATAAATAATGCTACTGTTTAGCTAGCTTCATCAAATCAAACTTTGGATAAAGATGACCAAACAATATCGCTATCAATGTGGCATCTCGTTTTCATAATTTAGGGGCTATAGCATAATTTGCCTTCTTTACCGACTCATTCATGACATTTTGACATGGTAATCTCGCATTGAATTTTCTTCCAAATGTCACTTATTACTTTTTTAGATTATCGATCTATATAGGTAATAGTTATTCATCTTAATTGTTTCGCCTTAAATGATAATCATATGTTGAAATAGTAAATTGAGCAAGTTCACTCTATCGATGGTAGATTAATCAATTCGACAATGATGTTCTGTTTATTGAATGTGCGAAGAAGAATTAACTATTAAAGGAATTAATTAGGGATTATTTCATAGAACATAGAATATCTTTGTTAAAATGGTGAGAATTGAGAAAAAAATATTTTGCAATATAGATCAATTTTTGTCTTGAAATGATAATAGTAAAATTAAATAATAAAATTTAAATGCAAAGAAACAATTTCTTAGCTAGCTTGCGTTCGTAAATAAATGAGCGAAAAAGGAAAGGAGAATACGTAAACCATAATATGGAAAGATGTAAACTTAACCGTAACCATCAGTCTATGCATAACAAATACAACAAGCACAGGGATGAGGACGTAAGTATGAAGATTCATGGAACTCGCAGCTATTATATTTAAACGATATTAAAACAACTAGCATTTATCTTCATAATCAAACATTATCAACGAGTTAACCATCGTCAATGTTCTGACTAAATCGGTAGAAATCATATTGATTTATAAAGTAACCATCAACGAATTATTCTAGCCTACCGAAGGAGAAACTAGCAAATCAGATTGAAAAGCAAACTAAGTTATATTGTAGAAGTGTGAATTTTCTTTTTGCTAAACTCTTCATGAGAGGCTGCTTGTTCATCTCTTAACCATAACAACATCAATATTGCCATTCAAAGTATTGAAATAAAGGAAATTGTGAGAATAATTAAAGAATGTAGTCAATAATTTCGCTGCAGCTACTATAGCGATATTCAAACCGCTTAACCAAATCAGATTAATGGGTTGAACTAATTTTCATATCTTACGTGGCAAAATTTGATATCAGCATTAGAATATTAAGAGAAGACCTTTATACTATATAATAAAAAATGGTAAAGCGATTAACGCTAATATTACATGGTCATATCGGGTGGTAAAACAAATTAAGCTAATTGGGCAAGCTTTGGCGAAAGTTATATTATAGCTTGTCTTTATTGTTGCTTGTAGTCGATCTGTTTTTACGTTATGATGCAACTTCTACATGAATTTTAAATAAATGATATCATTATTTATAAGTCTTTCTGGAAAATTGATTGTTACTTCTTAAAATTTACGTACCTTATATCAACATAGCTAAAACAAAGCGCTCATTGTAGATAGTAAACTGTAACCTTAGGTATTTATTTTGAAGATGCTAATCGTACTACTTAAACATGCTATAACTTTACTTATTCATGAACTCAACTCTACACAACCCATCATTCATTATTATAACTTCATATGAATAGATTTCATGAATATTAATGCCGTAATATTGGATAGTTGAAACCATTCATTGAATTACAATTATTGTTTTTTTATGATTATATTGTTCACGTCATTGATGTTAGAAATTGATATAAAGATAAAAAAATAGGACTCAAATTACTAGAATTCTTGGGCATTCATTCATGAAATGTTAATATCCTGTATCATAATAATAACAGATAAATACTAGGTCATAGTAACTTTATTAATCTCCAAATAATGCCATCTACTGCCATTGATTACATTGCATAAAATAATCCCTCTAAAATGGAGTCAATGTTATAAAAGTGCACCGAAAATACGTGCTTTTATACGTGATATTGGGGTTACTATTAGGAAGAATATTAGACATCGAAGATGATTCTATATAAGATGAGAATATAAATGATCATATCGTCATGTTACATATTTTACTTCCTCTCTGTTTTGAACCCTATTCATGATCGCTCTGGAGCCATATAGACTTCAATTTTTAAAACTATAGACAGTAATTAGCTTATATCAGTCTCTATCTTGTATTTTCTTTTAATTCTCCCTAAGAGGCAAATTATTTGTATTTAATGCTGTTATATGGAAGAAAATTAGTTATTAAGAACGACAGGAGGTGATTTAAATTCGAAAGATGTCGTTAGAGCGATAAATATTCTACTTTCTTACAACTTCTAAGGCTATCCATCCGTGATTAACTTGGACCAACATCGACTTGAATATTTAAGTTATCGAATGATGTTTGCTAGTAGCAAAATCAGTCTCAGACATTTATTCCTTTTTGACTTAGCGCAATTGCTCTAGTACGTAAGAGCTAAGAATATATGATACTGAAAATAATAATAGATGATAATTCTTATAAATAAATATATCTCGGCATTTTTTCTTTACTGTAATTGCTGTTAAATGTTGAACCATAGAAAAAAACACGAAGAACAAGCAGTGATGTGGGCAAGAAAAGCAGCCTTGGGTAGCATATCATGAGTTTTTCTATTATTAGATCATGATAATAAGGAAGTATTCGCGATTTGAAAGGACCAGCATATGATTTATTAAGTTCATAGCGAAGGAGTATAAGTAGGCATTTGCTCATGCACGTATATATAAATTATAGAAAAATAGCATTGATATTCCGCGTTTTTAATTTGAAATGATCAATTAGCGTAAAGACAAGTGATAATTCCTAAAATACTTTGTTGCTTCACATTGCCTCGCTGCTGGAAGATCAGCAACGATAGTGTTCAAAAACGAACGATGATAAGTTAATAAAAAAGATAAATGGGGACTTTGTTATAGATTTCACGAATGAATGAGTTAGCAAAGGAAGTATTTCTATTATAAAGTAAGTGTAAGAAATATGAGCTAAATTTTGGTGAGGAAACCGCTATGAGAGAGTAAAATCGGAATTATTTTAAGTGTCAATCTTTATATTTCATTCAGAATTCCATTTGACGATTGTGAAGCAATAGCTATGCTTATTTTACGGAAATAGTAGCCTTGACCATCAGGACAGTAATCTCAGGTGCTTTAATAACTTACCGTATTAAATCAATCTAATCTATAATGAGCTACAGAATGAATGGT